GGCGGAAAAATCAGTTCAATTTACTTAAACTCGATTGCAAGAACTTGTGCAAACAGCTATGCATATCATATGATTTTGAGTGTATTTGCTTCAATTTGAAAAGAATGTAATGGAAGACCACGCACGGTGTAATACGCAAGCTCAATTTATGGGGACTTGAGGGTTTAGGATCTAGGATTTAGGATTTGGGGTTTAGGATGTAGGATTTAGGATTTAGGGTTTAGGATTTAGGATTTAGGATTTAGGGTTTAGGATTTAGGATTTAGGATTTAGGTTTTAGGATTTAGGATTTAGGGTTTACGATTTAGGATTTAGGATTTAGGGTTTAGGATTTAGGATTTAGGATTTAGGATTTCGGGTTTAGGATTTAGGATTTGGGATTTAACCTCCGGAAATTTGGATTTTTGCTGGTGATTTTTAAGTGACAAATTCTGTTCATAAAATGTGCCTTGTAGACAAGGCCGGTTGCGAATCTCGAGGTCCCCTCCTTTCTTTTCGTGTGGCTGCTCTTAAGCTTCCGGATTTCAATATTTAGTCGCGCTTGTCCTTTTCGGAAAAGGACAACCAGCTCTAAAATCTAGATTTCGGATTTAGGGTTTAGGATTTAGGATTTAGGGTTTAGGATCTAGGATTTAGGATTTGGGTTTTAGGATGTAGGATTTAGGATTTAGGGTTTAGGATTTAGGATTTAGGATTTAGGATTTAGGGTTTAGGATTTAGGATTTAGGATTTAGGATTTAGGATTTAAGGTTTAGGTTTTAGGATTTAGGGTTCAGGATTTAGGATTTAGGGTTTTGGGGGTTTTAGCCTCCGGAAATTTGGATTTTTGCTGGTGATTTTCAAGTGACAAATTCTGTTCATAAAATGTGCCTTTTAGACAAGGCCGGTTGCGAATCTCGAGGTCCCCTCCTTTCTTTTCGTGTGGCTGCTCTTAAGCTTCCGGATTTCAATATTTAGTCGCGCTTGTCCTTTTCGGAAGAAGACAACCAGCTCTACAATCTAGATTTTCCAAAGCTGTCAAACGATAAGCTTGAAGGGCCGAGCCGGCCCTGCCATGCCGAAGGCCCGAAAAGGGCCGAGGCTACTCCCAGCCGTTGCTTAAATTTTAGACGGCCAGAGGCCGAAGATGCGCCAGCGCAGGTTCTGGTTTGATGCCCAGCAGGTACGCAGGATTTAAGGCAAGCAACCGTAAACCTTTAAGTAAATTGACCGAGAGCCCAGCAAGCCCTCCGTACTAGTACTACTACAACTACTACTACTACAACTACTACTACCAAGCTGTGGGAAGGTGTTCTGGCCCCGGCCCTGGCTGCTGGAAGGTGCCCCTCCCCGGGCCCTGGCTGTGGGAAGGTGCCCCGGCCCCGGGAAGGTGCCCCGGCCTTGTGGCTGCGGAAAGCGGTGGGGGAAGGTGCCCCGGCCCCGGGCCCTCCGGCCCGGGCCCTGGCTGTGGGAAGGTGCCCCGGCCCCGGGCCCTGGTGGGAAGGTGCCCCGGCCCCGGGCCCTGGCTGTGGGAAGGTGCCCCGACCCCGGGCAACAAACCCCAGCAATCCCTCAACAATAAGAAAGCCTCAATCTAGTCTAGCCCGAACCAACAGAGGGCAATCGCGGAGCAGACAACGGGGCAGACGACGAGCTTGAAGGCTTATGCAACGGCCCACTAAAAGCAGTGAAACCACAAGCACCCCCAAACCCCGGCAATCCCTCAACACTAACAAAGCCTCAATTTAGTCTAGCCCGAACCAACAGAGAGCAATAGCGGAGCAGACGACAACTGTTAAGGCTTAAGCAACGGCCCCCTCAAAGCAGTGAAACCACAAGAACCACCAAGACCCGGCAATCTCTTAACACTCACAGTGCTCTAAACCTAACTTAACCCGAACAAACAGAAAACATTCGAGAGGCAGACGCAACACTTTAGGACCTAAGGACCAGCCCCCCTAAAGCATAGCAAGCGTTCGTGGGAGATGCTCGGGGCGCCTGTGAGCGCAGTCAACATGGACCCCCTTAAGGCAGAGAAAGCCTTCGGGTGAGATGCTCGCACTCGGACCCCTCCGCCTCCGAGCCCCAACCCACCTCGCACCCCTGAAACTTCGCGAGGGGGGACCCGGCCGCGCCAGAAAAAAGTTCAAAGGTTTCGATCCCCAACCCGGAAAAAGTGCCGGAAAACATGATTGTCAAAAACCGCCGTTTTTACCAAACCCCAGCAAACCCTTAACATTAAAAAAGACTAAATTTAGTCTAGCCCGAACCAACAGAGAGCAATCGCGGAGCAAACAACGAGTTTTACGGTTTAAGCGTCAGCCCCCTTAAAAGAAAGGGATGCAGCTGCTGGCGCAGACACCAAAACGAGAAGACGTAATGAACACTTTTGCACTTTGCGCCGAACTTTTGCGCTTTGCGCGGACCCCATAGGAAAGAGGAATTGCTTCAAAGGTTTGCACTTTGCGCCGATGAACACTTTTGCACTTTGCGCCGACCCCTAAGGAAAGGAAAATGCTTCAAAGTGCTCAAAAGCGGAATTGCTTAGGGCGCCAGCACTGCGCTGGCGAACCACAACCTCAACAACTGGAACGTTCATGGGTGCAAAAATATAAAAGCACCCCTTGATAGGGGGGTTGGGGGGTAGAAACCCTAAACCCTAATAGAGTATAGTTTGGGTGGCCGGGGTGGGTTTACAAGCAACGCGAGCGCGCGGCCCGGGGTGCTTCACACCCGAGCGCGCGACTTCGCCTGCCACACCCTAAACCCTAAATTTTAGACGGCTTGCGCCGAAGGTGCGCCAGCGCAGCTTCTGGTTTGATGCCCAGCAGGTACGCAGGATTTAAGGCAAGCAACGGTCGACCATAGGGCAGTTTAAGTAAATTGACAAGTTTTTTCTAAGTGCAACTGAACGGTTTAAGTAAATTGAAATGACCCAAGCAAGCTTCAAAGTGCTCAAAAGCGGAATTCCCATAGGAATAGAAATTGCTTCAAAGTGCTCAAAAGCGGAATTGCTCCGTTTAAAAGCTAGGGGTGTTCCCATAGGAAAGGAAATGCTTCAAAGTGCTCAAAAGCGGAATTGGTTAGGGCGCCAGCAACTACGCTGGCGAACCCTAAACCCTAAACCCTAAACCCTAAACCCCTAAACCCTAAACCCTAAGCGAGGGCTCGTTGGAGCGCTTGAAGCAGAGCCCGAGCGACGATTGCCGAGGCCAGGCAATCGCCCGAGCAGCTCCGCTGCGAGCGGCCAAGCAGGCTGCTCAACAATCGCATCCTGCCACTGGAGGGTTAAGCCTCCAGTGTGGGCCTGGAACGGACGCCAACGAATAGGCCTTGCCTTACCACACATGTGAGGTACACAAGCTTAGTGTGCCCGATCAGCACACCTCTATTAGAAAGCTAATAACCGAAAGCCGAGACCATTTCCCAGCGATGGCCGCCCCTTGGGTTTAGGGTTCAGGCCCCACCAGAGCGCTCCCCAAGGCTCCCCAGAGCACCTTTGCCACAGCGGAGTCCCCACCAGCACCCCCACCAGAGCAGAGCACCAGCCGGCCCCCACCAGAGCACCCGCCGGAGCCGTAAAGCCAGATTTTGAGTATGTATTTTGGGTGATAAATTCTGTTCGTAAAATGGCACTTTTAATGAGGCCCGGGGCCGAAGTCGGGGTCCCCCCCATTCTGGGCAGGACGAGCTCCCCCACCTGAGCACCGCCACCCCCCACCAGAGCACGCTCCAGTTTCGTCACCAGAGCACGAGAGCAGAGCACCAGCCGGCCCCCACCAGAGCACCCCCGCCGCCAGAGCCGGAGCCGTAAATGCAGATTTTGGGTGGGTATTTTGGGTGATAAATTCTGTTCGTAAAATAGCACTTTTAATGAGGCCCCGGGCCGAAGTCGGGGTCCCCCCCCATTCTGGGCAGGACGAGCTCCCCCACCAGAGCACCGCCACCCCCCACCAGAGCACGCTCCAGTACGCACCCCACCAGAGCAGAGCACCAGCCGGCCCCCACCAGAGCACCCCCGCCGCCAGAGCTGGACCCGTAAATGCAGATTTTGAGTGGGTATTTTGGGTGATAAATTCTGTTCGTAAAATAGCACTTTTAATGAGGCCCGGGGCCGAAGTCGGGGTCCCCCCCCATTCTGGGCAGGACGAGCTCCCCCACCAGAGCACCGCCACCCCCCACCAGAGCACGCTCCAGTACGCCTCGTCACCAGAGCACCCCACCAGAGCAGAGCACCAGCCGGCCCCCACCAGAGCACCCCCGCCGCCAGAGCCGGAGCCGCCAGAGCACGAGAGCAGAGCTCCAGCCGGCCCCCACCAGAGCACCCCCGCCGCCAGAGCCGGAGCCGTAAATGCAGATTTTGGGTGGGTATTTTGGGTGACAAATTCTGTTCGTAAAATAGCACTTTTAATGAGGCCCGGGGCCGAAGTCGGGGTCCCCCCCCATTCTGGGCAGGACGAGCTCCCCCACCAGAGCACCGCCACCCCCCACCAGAGCACGCTCCAGTACGCTTCGTCACCAGAGCACCCCACCAGAGCAGAGCACCAGCCGGCCCCCACCAGAGCACCCCCGCCGCCAGAGCCGGGTACGGACGGCGGTCCCTTATCTTTGCCTGCTTAATGAAGGAGACCACCACTTCCCGTACGGACGGCCGGTTCGGGCGGTTCCCACTGCCTGCACGGACGGCGCTCCCCTATCTTTGCCCATACCTTATCTTTGCCTTCTTAATGAAGGAGGACCCTGCCTGTACGGACGGCCGGTTCGGGCGGCCCCCACTGCCTGTACGGACGGCGCTCCCCTATTTTTGCGTTAATGAAGGAGGACCCCACTGTCCGTTCGGACGGCCGGCTCAGCGGTCCCTTGTCTTTGCCTCCTTAATGAAGGAGACCACCCTTGCCCGTACGGACGGCCCCCACTGCCCGTACGGACGGCACTGGACCCAACTGTCCGTACGGACGGCCGGGTACGTCGCTTTCAATGACTCTGGTCTTCCGGCACCCGATATCTCTGAGCGAGCAAAAATGGCGGAGCAATGGTGCAAGCTTGGTTCGTGGCGCATATGTCGTCAATGCCACAGTGTGCGCCCGCGTCCTTTCCAACCGGGAGATTTACGGCGCGTCGCCCAGCCCACCGTCAAGACCTGCACTCTGTGTCGGCGCGGTGCGCGCGTGCCGCAGCCAGGTGATGTGCCCGAACCTTTGCGCGAACTCTCTGCAGACGTGGTGCTAGCCCTGCGGCCACTGGACGTGGACACTGGCAGCTATGAGCGAGCTCCACACGGTTACCGCGTCCATGCATCCATGGTCCGGTTTGCATGGGCCGCCAAAGACGTCGAAACCAAGATCGCGCAGCTGTCGCACGCGCGGGAGCGGAAGCAGGCCAAGCGGGCATTTCGCTATCTGACAGAATCGGAGCAGGGCCGGTCGACTTCGGCTTACGCTGACTTCGTGGAACGCCATCGCCGCTTCTTGACTACCCACGAAGACGCCGCGGAGCAGGTGCGAAAGCGGCCGCTTCGCTTTCTGGAGGAACGAGCCCTGGAGTGCGCGCTGTGGCCGCACCTATACTGGGATACGTCCCTCTGCGAAACAGTTGTTCGCCTTACAGACGTGCGCCGGCAGCGGCCGGTCCGGCCGAGGGCCTGCATGTCCAGCGGCGAGGAAGACGCAGGCTGCGCCACCTCGGACGAAGACTCCGCGTCTTCTGCGTCCGCAGACAGTGCCGGAGAGCTCGCCTCTGCTGCCGGCCGGCACAGTGTACGCCGCAGTTTCCTGAACAAAGTTCTGGGACCCATCGTGGGATACTCCGAGGACTATGAGCTTTTGCATTTCGTGTATGATTTGGTTATGTGGAGCTCTCTGGGCGGAACGAAGAACTCGGCGAGCAGTATCCCTTTGCGCCTGGCCGTCAAGAAGGCGTCGTGGTCGCCGGAATATTGGCGTACTCGGCATCTGGCCTTGCTGGACCTTCAGCGTCAGGTTGGCCTGCCTCACTTATTTCGGACGCGAGCTCCCTATGAACGCTCTTTTCCATACCATATGTGGGTTCTCCACGAGATGGCCCTGGCCGGACGCGGTCGACTGGAGCTCGCAGGGCCGGAGACACTTCACATGGCTCATGTTCTCAAGGAGCTCGACCGCGGGTATTTCAGCGGCATGAACCGGCGCACTGTCGGTCGCCGAGATCGACAGTGGAAAGACCATCTCCTCGCCGCAGCTGACGGTTCGGATGTTAACACCGTGCTTAATTTCGTTTCTCGCTTGGAGTTTCAAGATGGAAAGCGAAAGACCGGCACCCAGCGATACCACGGGCGCGGCGCGGTTCACTCTCACTCCTTGGACTATCTAGAGAACGTCGGTGCGGTGCGACTGCACGAGAAGCTGAGTGCCTCGGTGCCACAACAAGCGGAAGCCGTGATCACGCGGGGCATCGTCCTAGACTCGCAGCTAGACAGAAATAACAGCAAGGTGGACATCCGAGAAGAACCCTCTGCGTGGGACGACGCAGAGCAGAAGGTGCTCTTACACCACACCGAGGAAGACCATGCCCGCCATGTCCGCGCATATTTTCCTGAAGCTTTGCAGGTAAGCAAGTGCCATGAAGACGTCCTGCAGGCAGACGGGCACGGTGCACTCATGCGCTACGTCGCGACGTACCAGCAAAAGTTCAGTGGGAGCTTTGCTGGTGATTGGTTGAACGACGAAGCGTCAGACTATAGCGTGGCGCGACGCATTCTCTTTGACCACCACCCACTCGAACCTGAAATGTGGCTCAGCCTTGCTGGTGCCATGTTTCCTCAATTTTCTTTCGGCGGCGCTTTGGTGGATATCTTCGCGCCCTACCCCGGCATGGAGCACAAGCCGGACTTTGTCGTTCGCTACGAAACTTGCAGCTGGAGAGGGGAGAGCATGACCTTGCTGGACTTCCTGCGGAAAAGCAATTCTGTCGGCGCCATCCTGCAGTGGGTGCGTCGCAAGCACAAGGCGACGGAGCCAGCTGGCGCCGATTCTGTCGAGGAATTCGCACGCAGCTGTCCCGCTCGTGGGGAGAAAGCTGTTGCCGCCGCTTGCGTCTCCCGCCTGCGAGACCGATACTACGGCCAGTGGCTTGCACTGCACTGCCCGTTTGCTCAGTTAGACGACTTCTTCGTGCCCGAAATCCAAGAGAAGGTCCCGGAAAGATATCAGCTTTTCGCCACCGCGTTGCACTGGCGTGCCGATTATTGGACCAACTTGGACCAACTCCGCGCGGACATGCAACTGGAAGCAGGCAGCAGCGACCACATCGAGACGGTGTGTAACCTCGTGCGTGCCCAAACTCATCTCGTCGGTCGCTACCTCCAAGGAGATCTCGTCCGAGAAGATGTGCGGGATGCCATCGAGGAGGTGGAAGCGGAAGCGGCAGAAGCTCCGCGACCGGCAGACGGCGACGTGCCGTTGGTGCTCGATGCTTCGCAGCGTCGCCTGCAGCGCTTGATCGATCTCAGCGTGCAGCGATCCTTGGACGCTCGAGCGGCAGAGGACGATGACGCGCTGGACGACATCGCTCTGGACGCGCACAATACTAACCGCATATTGGCGGCTGTCGGGCCGCCGGGCTCAGGTAAGACTAGTGCCGTTCATGCTTGCATTCGGCGGTGGCATGCGCGAGGGGCCCGCATTCTTTTCGCTTTGCCCACGGGACAGCTAGCCGCTCAGATGCGACGCCTGCATCCGGATATCGATGTGGACACATGCCACGGTGCATTCTTGTTCCATAAAGAAATCTCCGAAGCCTTGCCCATCCTCAGCTCTTACGACCTGGTCATTGTGGACGAGTTGTCGATGCTCACCAGCGAGCACTTCGATCGTCTGGACACTATGTGGCGTGCAGCGGATCGCTTGCCCTGCATGGTTTTCCTTGGTGATTTCTGGCAGCTGCCCGGGCCGCAGCAGCCGCCGAGCAAAGTGTCAGACAGCCAGGCATGGAACGGTGTCAAGCAGATAATGTTCAACACTATGCACCGCTGCGAAGATGCGCGCCTGGCCAAGAAGCTTGCAGCTCTGCGAACCGCTGTTCCTAGCAAGCGTCTCTTGAAACAGATTGCCAACCGAGCCCATCGCGCTTGGACCGACGCCGAGCCCACTGCTTACGACGTCCTCGAGGTGTTTCGAAGGACAGACTACGCAACATCCATGGTCACGTGCACCAGGAAGGGCGCGCAGACGCTGAACGATCTTGCGGTGGATGTGCTGCTCAGGCACCGGCACCAGACGCCCCTAGGAGAGCTGCCCTTCGATTGGGAAATGGACCCAGGCAACTACACGCAAGATGGCACTTTGTGCTCTGATGCTCCGCCAAAATCCATGCCCACCAGGGTGTACAAGGACATGCGTGTGTTCCTTACCAAGAACTTGAACAAGAGACAAGACTTTGTGAATGGCATGGGTTGCAAGGTACTCGACTATCACGAGCGTAGTGGTTGTCTAACCGTGCTCACCGACACTGGCAAGCGGCTTGCCGTGAGCGCTGTTCGTGAGCGCGTTGGCACTCACGACGTGGACTACTTCCCGCTCCGCCTGGGGTACGCTTCGACCGTGCAAAAGGTACAAGGGCAAACGCTGAAGCATATTACGCTTTGGCTTGACCGGCCCTGCTGCCGGGCTGCGGGGTATGTGGCGCTGAGTCGGGTGCGACATGACGAGGACTATCTTATCGCTGGCAAAATCCGCCCGCACCATTTCACACCTGCGATGTGAAGCGTGCCAGAGCTGCTTCGCATGACAAGCCGGCTACAGACCACAACCCTCGCTCCCAGATAAAAAACGCCCTTGCATGGACTGCACGTCCATGTCGGCTATTCTCCTGTCTGTCCCTGCTTACGATGATTCACGTTACGCCTCGTGCAAGCGCACATTCGTCCTTTCGATTCAAAAAACCTCGTCTGCTTCAATGGCAAAATGCTTCGCTACCGTTACGACGGGCTCCGAAGAGACGTTTCACTGCGTGCGACAACCCTCTTTCAACGAAGGCTTGGTGGCTGGAAGACGGCGCTCCGAATCGAATCATGCTATATAACTGCAGGTACCTGCATTCCCCCAAAGGATCCTATGGCATGATCAGCTTCACTCGGCGCGACCTCCGAGCCAACCATATCTTGTTAATGCCTCCTTACCGAAACGGCTCCTGCAACTGCGAGCCATATTTAATTTATTCTAACAAAGCAAAATTAATTGTTGCACGCGAAGTCGCTTCAGGATAGCTACGGTGGCACGCAGCTATCTCGAGTAACTACACTAAGCTCAAGAATTCAACCTTATGTACTGATCACCACGACATTATCACGCAGCTATCGACTAACTACACTAAGCTCAAGAATTCAACCTTATCTACTCATCACCACGACATTATCGCATCCTATGTCTGAACTAGACACGCACGCCCCCACCACGTACTTCGCTGCTGGCTTTGGCAGTCGCTTGTGGGTAACCCCCCTTGATAGGGGGGTTGGGGGGTAGAAACCCTAAACCCTAAAAGAGTCGAGTCTGGGTGGGGCGAGGGTGGGAAAAACTTAGCTACGCTGGAGCGAGCGGCTCGGGGTGCTTTACACCCGAGCGAGCGAACACGATGGACACACCCTAAACCCTAAATTTTAGACGGCTTGCGCCGAAGGTGCGCCAGCGCAGCTTCTGGTTTTATGTTCAGAAGGTACGCAGGATTTAAGGCAAGCAACGGTCGACCATAGGGCAGTTTAAGTAAATTGACAAGTTTTTTCTAAGTGCAACTGAACGGTTTAAGTAAATTGAAATGACCCAAGCAAGCTTCAAAGTGCTCAAAAGCGGAATTCCCATAGGAATAGAAATTGCTTCAAAGTGCTCAAAAGCGGAATTGCGCCGTTTAAAAGCTAGGGGTGTTCCCATAGGAAAGGAAATGCTTCAAAGTGCTCAAAAGCGGAATTGGTTAGGGCGCCAGCAACTACGCTGGCGAACCCTAAACCCTAAACCCTAAACCCTAAACCCTAAACCCTAAACCCTAAATTTTAGACGGCTTGCGCCGAAGGTGCGCCAGCGCAGCTTCTGGTTTGATGTTCAGCAGGTACGCAGGATTTAAGGCAAGCAACGGTCGACCATAGGGCAGTTTAAGTAAATTGACAAGTTTTTCCTAAGTGCAACTGAACGGTTTAAGTAAATTGAAATGACCCAAGCAACACACCCAACCCTAAACCTTTAACCCTAAATTCCCGGTGGCGCAGCTGCGCCAGCAAGGAGGACCGGATGTCAAGAAGGTGTGTACACAATGTGCTCGCAATCAATGCACCCTGACATGCTCTATCTGCGGAAAGACCAAGCCTGCCAACGCTTTCGAGTCCACCATGTGCACCCTGCCACCTGGCTGCGCGGCATGCAAAGACTGCCAAGAGGAGGTGCATCCGAAAGCGAAGCGCCTCCGAGGAGGCTGGTTCCTATGTCAAGGTTGCAAGCAGTCCTTTCCCCTGGTTGCAGCAGGCAATGCCAGCAATAATCATTGCTTGAACTGCGCAATTCACGGCACCAGGGCTCCTAAAGGATGGCACAAGTGCCAGAACCAGCAATGCCAGAAGGTATTCCAAGAAATTCGTGCACCAGGAGACTCGCGGCCAAAGCTTTGTCCGGAATGCAGAGTCTCGAAACAGAAGCGACTCCGCAAGTGAAATTTATGTAGGTTACACTTGCTTGGCCCGAAATCCTACCTCAGAGGTCAGATTTGACAAGGAGCCGCTAGTGGATAAGACAAAGAATCGCGGAGTTGCAAAGTCAAGATATCGGCGGAGAACGGACGTGTGGAACGTGCATGTAGGCATAGTGGTGCTGGCAGACCTCGCAATGGACAGGGGGCAGCCACGCGATGAAAAGTCCCGCAGCAAGGAACATGGATGGTACACGACGGCATAGCATAGACGCACTCATCAGAGCAGCTGCGCAGCCACTGGTTCGTGAAGGAAGCATATCTCACAAAACTCATGAAACCTCGACCATTCAAAATGCTTAGACCGATAACACGAAGTAACCCAGAGGCAAAGACTGACACACAGCAATTCTGCAACTTCCAGGGCGTGCCATGACGAGGCTCGATACCGGCGCCCTAGGCCGCTTTTGGGCTTTGACGAGGCTCGATAGCGGCGCCCGAAGCCGCTTTTGGGCTTTGCACCGCTTTTTGGGCTTTGCGCCGCTTTTGTGCTTTTGGGCAAGGTGCCCGGCCCCGGGCCCTGGCTGTGGGAAGGTGCCCCGGCCTCTTAGCTGTGGGAAGGTGGTCCGGCCTTGGGGCTTTGGGGTTGATGGGAAGGTGCCCCGCCCCCGGGCCCTGGGCCCTGGCTGTGGGGAGGTGCCCCGGCCCCGGGCCCTGGCTGTGGGAAGGTGCCCCGCCCCCAGCAAACCCTCAACAATAAGAAAGCCTCAATTTAGTCCAGCCCGAACCAACAGAGAGCAATCGCGGAGCAGACAACGGGGCAGACGACGAGCTTGAAGGCTTATGCAACGGCCCACTAAAAGCAGTGAAACCACAAACCCCCCCAAACCCCGGCAATCCCTCAACAATAAGAAAACTTCAATTTAACCTAGCCCGAACCAACAGAGAGCAATCGCGGAGCAGACGACAACTTTTGAGACTTAAGCAACGGCCCCCTTAAAGCAGTGAAACCACAAGAACCACCAAGACCCGGCAATCTCTTAACACTCACAGGGCTCTAAACCTAACTAAACCCGAACAAACAGAAAACAATCGAGAGGCAGACGCAAAACTTTAGGACCTAAGGACCAGCCCCCCTAAAGCAGAGCAAGCCTTCGTGGGAGATGCTCGGGGCGCCTGTGAGCGCAGTCCACATGGACCCCCTTAAGGCAGAGAAAGCCTTCGGGTGAGATGCTCGCCCTCGGACCCCTCCGCCTCCGAGCCCCAACCCACCTCGCACCCCTGAAACTTCGCGAGGGGGGACCCGGCCGCGCCAGAAAAGTTTGAAAGGTTTCCCGACCCAACCCGGAAAAAGTGCCGGAAAACATGATTGTCAAAAACCGCCGTTTTTACCAAACCCCAGCAAACCCATAACAATAAGAAAGCCTCAATTTAGTCTAGCCCGAACCAACAGAGAACAATCGCGGTGCAGACAACGAGTTTTAAGGCTTAAGCGCCAGCCCCTTAAAAGAAAGGGATGCAGCTGCTGGCGCAGACACCAAAACGAGAAGACGTAATGAACACTTTTGCACTTTGCGCCGAACTTTTGCACTTTGTGCGGACCCCATAGGAAAGAGAAATTGCTTCAAAGGTTTGCACTTTGCGCCGATGAACCACCTGTTGGCAATCTGTACCCCCCTAAGATTGCCACCTGTTGGCAATCTGTACCCCCCTAAGATTACCACCTGCTGACAATCTAAATCCACTTTGATTGCTACTTGTTGGCAATCTGTACTCCCTTAAGGTTCCCACCTGTTGGCAATCTGTACCACCCTAAGATTGCCACCTGCTGACAATCTAGATCGCCGGTGATTGCCACCCGTTGGCAATCTATACCC